ATGATGTATTTTTTTTCTGTTTTTCTATGCTAAAGTGAATCATGACTTTTCTGATAACTAAGTTGGAGAATTTGAGACCCCCATTCTCTTAAACCCTCCTCTACTTCCCTGCCCCTCTTTTTCTGTCCTTTACACTATCTGCCACCCCAATCTTGTTCTCTTTTCTAATGTAGATCCTGTTAGGCATCTTTTCTATTTCTTGTTCTGGGGACCCATGGTCTTGTGCTCATTATACCCTCTTAATGGATTATCAGGCATTTTTCTGAACGAGGGCAGTGCTCTCTGGAGCTATCCGAATACATCCACTGTCATCTTTTTTTGGATTGTTTCTCTTTTGTCTTTTATTCTCTGCATCTGTTTTTCCTTTTGTCATATTTGTAATGTGCATAGAGAGATGATTTAGTGTTTTTCCCTTTCTCACTTAACATTGTATGGTAAGCTTTCTGACCTGTTGTTACGTAGCATCATTTTTAGTGGCTTTAGAACGGTCCACTGAATGGCTGAACTGCAATTTTCCTTATGTTCCCTGTTGCTGGGCATTTAAGTCATTTCCAGAATTTCACAATTGTAAACACAGCTGCAGGGAATATCTTTGAAAATGAAGCTTTCCCATTATTTGGGGGGCGTCTTCCTAACATAGATTCCATAAATTGAAACTACTAGGCAAAAGACATTCACTTGTTTTGGTGGTTTCTTCTTACAAGATTTGTGGTTTTAAAGAGCTAACGTTTGTCAGAGGGGCATTATCGTAAGAGAAACAGATATTTTTCTCCCATCTTGTAAAGTCTGGTGTAACGTTTCCCCCTCCCCAGTACGGCTACATAATTAATACGTGGTGTCCAATTTGACCGGGAGCAGAAGCCCACGGGCAAGGACTTGTGCAAAATGACTTGTATCGATGGCTTCTGAGTATTTATTACGCCCAAAGCCAGCAGTGTGTGACCTGGATAAAGCAGCACAGAAGGTAGCAGAGAGAACTGATAAGTTCCTGGCTCACGTGGACCTGACTAGCCACTGGAAGGAGATTTGCAGAGCAGCGAGGTGGGCATGGGAGGTACAGTGCTGGGATGGCCGAGAGTTCACTGCAGACAGTCCTCCCTCTCTGCAGTGCCACGGCGCGAGCCGCAGACTTTCCACCAAATTACTTGCCACACTTCTGGCATTAATGAGAGATAGCTGAAGGTCTGGGAATTGAGTCATCTCATAAACATTCAAATTCATGGCAAAATTACTATTTAATTAGGAAAAGATCTGTAACATTGTGCTACTTTTAAATGAAAGTCATTTTGGAGGAATTAAAACTGGGTCATAACATTAGTATAATGTTTTAAAACAAACATTACTAAGACATACTGAATATACCCTAATTGATGAATTAAAGACATTAGTTTTGCCTTTGGATACTTACTGTGATTATGTTTTAAACACTGACTCTAGAAACTTACCTCTAGATTGGAACTGTACTTTCTTCGTTCTTTGTTCAAGTGAGATGTGGCAGAGGCTGAAAAAAATAATAGTGCACGCTCATTTAAAAAAATGTGGAAAATTTAAGTTCTTGTATATTATTAAATATTATATTAAAATGTAATACAGAATTTTGGAACAACCTAAACTCCACTACCCAAAGGCAACTGCTGTTAATCTTTATGTGTCTTTCTTTTCTTTCTTTTTTGTTGTGTTTGTATCCTTCCTATCGATACAGCATTTTTTTTTTTTTTTTTGGTGAGTTTTTTTTTTTTGCTATAGGGTACATGTGCTCGCTAGAGAAACAGACAGACAGAAAGCAAGAAGTCATCCACCCAGTGGGGATGGCCATGCTGCAGTCTCTTCTCCTCCATTCTTCTGGGATTTTGGGCACCTATGCACACGTGCCCACCGTGAGTTTTAAGCTACCAGGTCCGGGACTTGAACTACGGTTGACTGTGTGGGAGTCCAGCAATGTAACCATTATGACATCTGCTGGTCCCCAGATTATTTATTCTTTTTTAAGTTCATTTATTTCTTCAGAGAGAAAGAGAGAAAGACAGCACCCCAGGAGGGTCTCGCTGCTGCCATCCACCCCTAGCCTCAGCCAGCCCCAGATCATGGATGGTCACACATGCCTGTTGTACTCAGGGAGGTTTCCACGTGTGGACCTGAAACCTTACCTCTTGGCTCAGCCTCAGAGAGTTTTGCATTTTACTGCTGTGCCACCATCTGGTCCCTCCTGTCTGCAAAACTTCTGGTGTGTATGTGTGTGTGTTGTAAACAAGGTCTTGCCTGTCCTGATCCTCCTCCCTCGGTCTCCTAAGATACCACTGCACCTGGCTTTTAGGGTGGGCCAGGAATCAAGTCTGGGCTTCCCTTGTGGCCTCAGCCTGCCGAGCAGCAGTGCCTGGCATGCAATACCACACCTGCTCTGTATATGTTTTTAAAAAGAGTTGTGGTTATGTTAAATAACCAATTTTGTATCTATGTGTAAAATTGATCATAACAGCATAATTTTCCATGATATTATGTAGTCTTCATAATTCCGTTAACCGTGTGGTGCTGCATCCTAATGAATGTATGACACTATTTAACAATGTGAGGTATTTTTGCTGTTGCACACGGTGCTAAGGTGAACATTTGCAAATGCTTATCAGCATCTCTGGTGAGCTCTTTAAATGGAGTCCTAGAAGGAGAATTACTTGGTAAAAGGCACTGGGAAAGAGCCTTCCTAAGCTAATGGTAAGAATAGCTCCAAGAGGTCACAGGCATTTATACTCATGCCAACAGGAAGTGCCCTTGAAGTCACCCTTCTTGTTACCATTCTCACAAACATGTTTTTGCTTTGTTTTTAAGTCGTAAATTAGTAAGTGATACATGGATAACCTATTCCTTTAAAAAAAATTAGTCTTCAAAAATATCTGAATTCATTATGAGGGTAGCTTAATCAACTCTCAGGCAATTCAAGCAGACATGAAAGTGTGCTGTGCGTTTCACCATAAGGAAGATTTTAAATTAATATTTGATATTTAGAAGAATAAAAGGCTACATTGGAGTTAGCATTAAAATTGCATGGAATATAATTTTTCCATGTGATGTGAAATATCTTCCTCACAGAGGGCTGCGGAATCATGACAGAACTATGTCTGTGGGCTGTGGACAGGAGATCAGCCTCCACACACCTAGGAAAGAATCGCCAGTCGCCGACATCTCAACACACCCAGCACTGGTGGAATTTCAAGATCCCTGCATAATCTATAAATTATTCAATTTGTTGGGGGCTTCAGACTTTGAATTAAAAATGTTCTTCCTTCCTGTAGACTTACTAATGCAACATATACAGGAAATTCGAACTTTGAGAAAACGTTTAGAAGAATCTATTAAAACAAACGAGAAGCTACAGAAACAGCTGGAAAGGCAAGGGTCTGAATTTGATCAAGGTAAGGAATGACCTTCTCCCAGGGTGGTGCCCGCCGTCAGTGCTTCACTGGGACGCTTATGCCTGCAGTCACATTCCGTGTACAAAGCGACTCCTCGATCAGTGTTATTCCGCCACCATTGGGGAAGTCTGCCAGGCTCGGGCATCCCGAATCATGGTTGGCCCCTCATTTGACTTTCGAAGCTGTAGAGAAGTGATAGGTGTATTCTAAAGTAAAACAAAACAGGATTTTGTCTTTTCATCAATAATGGATTATAAAAATATCAGCGTTTTAGCAGTCTGGTAAATCTTACATGCCAGTTACCTATATTCCTTCATAGTCACTGTTAGCTCTGAGTGGAATGATTTTCCATGAACTTATTTTTTATCATCAATAAGACATTTGCATGGTTTAAAAATTAAAACCTCCATTCTTTTATTTTTGGAGAGGTTTTTGCTATAGAGTGTGTGTGCTAACCAGAAAGACAGAGAGAGACAGAGAGACAGCAAGCGAGGAATCACCCCTTAGAGGGGATGGCCACGCTGCAATCCCTTCTCCTCCATTCTCCTCTCGGGATCTTGGGCACGCGTGCACATGTGCCCAGCGTGAGTTTAAGCCACTGGGTCTGGGACTTGAACTGCGGTTGACTACATGGGAGTCCAGTGACATAGCCATTATGCCACTGCTGGTCCAAAAACCTCCATTCTTGACTCACTATTTTCCCTTTCCTTCTCCCTACTTTTGTTGGTTTTCTTCTCTGACCTTATGGTCATTTTTAAATACAGATATGTGTTCTTACACATATCCCAGTGATAGTATGGCATGTGTCCACCATTTCATCCAATTTTCTTTTCATTTTTAAAAAATACTTTTTATTTATTTATTTCATGAGAGAGAGAGAGAGAGAGAGCGCCAGCCAGCACTCCCACCAGGGTCTTGATGCTGTGGCCCACCCCAGCCTTAGCCGACCCCAATCATGGGCACGTGTTTCCCAACCCGTTCAGGGAGGTCTCTGACTTGAACCTGGAACCTTCCCATAGGGTCAGCCTTGCCGATCATCACGTACATCTGCTGTACTGCTGTCTGGCCCCTTCTGGCCCAGTTTTTGTAGGACAGTATATCTTGGACATCTTACTGCTCCTGAGTGTCCTTATTCCATGAAGAATGTACTTTGAGAGCAGCCCGTTGCACTCAGAAAAGCCTGAGCTGGTTTGGGAGTTAGACTGAGCTGAGTGTGGATCCCAGCTCATCTCCGCTTCAACTCTGGACAATTTATCCCACCTCTTCCAGTCTTTATTATTTCATAGAACAAGTTACTGAGAGATTAAATGAGGCAGCACTATGAACAGGGCCCTGCTCAGTACCTCACTCAGTAATTGGTGACTTTCATCATCATTACCAGTTTTATTTGACTATCTGATTTTGACTTTTTAAAAAACATTACGAGAGAGCATGTGCACTCACCGGAGAGAAAGAGACCAAGAGAGGGAGAGGTCACATCAATGGGTGTGACCATCTCATAGTCTCTTGTTCTCCATTTCTCCGTCCTGTCACATTTTCAGGCATGACACAAATGCACCTGTTGTGTTTATTAAGCCACTGGGACAAGGATCCTAACCACTGTTGGCTGTGTGAGATCCTGCACTCTTAACCACTAGACTATGGGTCTGGCCCATTGGCTATTTTATTTTATTTTGTATAGTGTTACTGGTTTAATATTGCAAAACCCTGCACTGGGCAGGGACCCTAATGCTATTCCATTACTAGAGATGGGATAACTGAGTTCTACCTAGTCCTGGCTGGCAGCACTCAAGTCCTTGAACCCTAGTCCAGTCTCATTCCTCTCTAGGCCATCATAGCCATCAGCCTAGAGGGACGTCGTTCCAAAGCACTGTATGTGCTGCAGTTTGCAAGGTAAACAGAGTGGTTCCATTATTCTCTCTCCCTCCCTCCTTCCCTCTCACTCACTCCACCCCCATCCTGCATCCTCCCCCTCTCACCCCCAGGGAAATTGATTAATCTGAGTTATTAGTTGTATCAAACACAGGAAAGAAATACACGCCTGGGCCCTTCACATTCACTCTTGGTAATGCCTGAATTAGATTCATTCTGTTTTACATTTTCCCTGGCAAATCCAATTATAGAATTATTTGGGGGCTCAAATGGCCAGCAGCTACAATGGAGCAGGCAATTGCTCTGGAGAGTAATTCACTCTGACGGAAAGGTTTGCAAAAAAGGCATTCATAAAGTATTTACGCTGGTGGAAAGACGTACTGTTCTCGCTGTGTTGTCACAGTCTCTGAAAAGACAAAGAAACAAAAGTGGCTCTGCCTGCCCCTGCTATGAAATGTTTACCTTGGGAGTAGGTTTGGGAAAGGCACGGCTCCTTATATGCCGAGGTGGAATGTTGTTGAAAACTGTCACCTCACGTGTTAGAGCTTCCAGCTTGTCACCAGCTGGACGAGCTTACAGTGATGGTGTTCATGGCTAAGACTGGCCTTGTGGTGGACCTCACTAGCTCAGGTTACACTGCCAGGAATTATTCTTTGGTCTAATTATTCCTTTGGAAAGCGACTACTTAAGCTTTGGTCATGGTAGACTTCTGTAGAATTTTTCCTGCTTATTCAGATTACTCTCTATTTTGGCTCCAGCCTGTCATGAATCCTGATATTAATACAGATGGTAAGCAGCAATTAAATAGCAGCAGTAGCAACACCAATCTTTTTTATTGAACCAGTGGAGACTTCGGGGAGTTATGTGACCTGCCTGAGGTCATGTAGCTATTCAGCCTGAGCTATGGTTCAAACTCAGTCTCTGTAAAGATACCAGAGTTCATGGGGGGTGTGGGGGAGCGGAGGAAGATGATAGAGAGACATATATGAATTTAAAAACGGTGTGACTTTATGGTAAGAGAAAAGGCGAGTACTATAGAAAGAGCTGACCTTCCTGGAGAACTGATGCCATACCCCTTTAAAGGAGTTGAACATTATAGGTATGCAGTTGTGCCAAATGCCTCCAGCTGCAGATAACACAATATGAGGAAAAACTTGTGAAAACAGCAAGGGCTTATGTTTTTTTACATATCAAGAAAGTCAGAGGCAGGCAGTTCCAGGGCAGGTTTTGTGGCTCAGTGACAGCAGGGTTTGGAGTCGTCTATAACGGCTGTGGTCGTTGTAAGAATCCCATCCTCTCAGAATGGTGTCCAAAGGGTGGGGCTTTTCCCATCCCTTTCTTTTCATCTGCATAAAAAATCTTACCCAGAAGTCCCCAGCAGACTTTTCTCATTGGCCAGAAGAGGCATGTGACCATGTCCTTACTGCAGGGTGGCTGGACAAGCAGGTGTCTGGTGTTTTGGCTCTATGGTGTGTAATTGGACTTAACCAATAGGAAAACAGGGAGAGGAAGCACCTGCTCCCCAACCGTAGAAGGCACCTTGCACATTGTGAGCGCTCTGCAGAGCACCTGTGACCATGGCCGTTATGCAAAGGGCACACAATGAAAGCCCAGGGTGGGGATTGTTGAGGAGGAATGTCCAGAGAGGTGTCTGCACATCTAAGATGAACTTAGAGGAAAGGATTGGATTTCAAGAGATAGACAGCAGGTTAGTGAGTATTCCCAGGTAAGAAAGTCTATCTAGCTTTAGATCCTAGTTTTTGTAGTATACAGTCAGGAGCAGTGAATTGGAGCTAAGAGTCGAAAGAGTGGGATTTTGACAGAGAAGGGGGATGTGGGCATTCTAGGCAGAGGGAATTCTTCATTCTGGAAAGTGAGGGAGGCATGTGACCATATGGTTATGTTTGAGGGCACAGCAGTGGCCCAAGTTGACTGCATTTAAGGGTACCAGGGTCTAGGGTGGAGAGGGAGTAGGTATGTCATGAGACTGGAACTAAGTAATGGAGGTCCTTAGATTCTAGACTGAGAAGTCTGGACTTTGTGTTTGGTCTGATTGTCTTTTGCAGTGGTGTGCCATCAGATGTCTTTTAGAAACATCAACAAACTGTGCTTAGGATGATAATCCCATCAAGATGATAGGACTTGAACTGTAGGGAACAGAACAGAGTGGTCTACTGCCCAAGGCATTTTGGAAGAGAATTTGAAGTCCTGATTGCCTGAGGGGCAGTGGAAGAGATGGGGTAAAGCCGAAAGGATGGCTTTGGAGAGTTCTAGTTTGGGTGAGGTGTTTAGAGCAGGACACAGATGAGAGAGAGTAGGTGTGGAAGGGCGAGATCAGTTTGGTGCTGTAGCCCAAGCTCCCTCAAGGGTGAGGCCCAGCAGGCAGCTGGGCAGACAAGTTTGGACCTCAGGAGATGCATCTGTGAAACTAAGACTCACCACTTACCCCATTCCTGGCCCAGGTCTCCGGCTTTGTTGACCCCTAGGACAGGTAAGATGCAGGGGAGCCCCTCCTCCTGCATCCTCTTTCCTTGCCCTTATTTCCCTTGGGCTCTGGTAGTACCTTGTATAGCTCACAAGAGCAATTTTCATTACATGTTGTATTTCTTCATTATTTAAAGCTGCTTTCTACACTGACCTGGAGACTGTCAACTAATCACTGTTCTATGTGTGTTTTCACAGGTTCTACTTATGGCTCAGAGCTGCATAGTTCTCTGACATCAGAAATTCATTTCCTAAGGAAGCAGAATCAGGCCCTCAATGCGATGCTCGTTAAGGGCTCCAGAGGTAAGACTGAAAGGAGCCACTGGTCACTTGCCGTCCCAAAGGCTCTGTGTTGCAGAAAGAAAGCTCGAGTCTGACCAACCTAGGTTTGAGCCCCATGGTCCTGTCATGGCTTTCTACCATTTAATTGTCACAACAGCTCTAAGAAACATTCCTACTTTATAGCTGAGAAAACTGAGGTTCACAGAGGTTAAGGAATACTTCATAGGGCTGTTGTGATAATTAATTGCATAAAGCGTAGCATCTCTAATAGGGACTGTGTAAATGTTACTTTATTTTCTTGTTACCCATCCCCTTCACACAGCCAATTTTCATTCATCCTAAACCACAGTGAAAGAGGGATGAGTTGGCAAGAAATTATTGTCAGAATCTTAACCATGGATTTCCTGCCATCAGCAAATTTTATCCAGTATTTCCTTCCTTTTTTTTTTTTTTGGAGAGGTTTTCACTATAGGGCACTTGCGGTCCTCAGAGAGACAGAAAGCAAGAAATCACCCTCCCAGGCGGAATGGCCACGCCACAGTCCTTTCTCCTCCATTCTCCTCTTGGGATGTTGGGCATGCACGCACACACACCCGGTGTGAGTTAAAGCCACCGAGTCCGGGACTCCAACCACGATTGACTACATGAGAGTCCAGTGACATAGCCATTATGCCAATTGCAGGTCCCTATCCAGAATTTCTTATAAAGATCCCTTTTCTTAATTTCTTCCATTTAAAACCTAACTCTCACAGAGCTTTTATTTATATTGTCTTTTAATACTTAAAATGAATCTAGAATGAGATATTATTAGCCCTATATTACAGGTAAGAAACTGAGGCCTGAGGAGTTGTCCGGCCTGTGGTCAGAAAGTTAGAGGTGGTGAGTTGGAACTTGGACCAGCTTATTCCACTTTCCATTGAGAGTATTGATGATGATTTTGGCTCAAAAGATGAAACCGGGTCTTCTGTAGGTCCTTTATTCACTCAGCAGACAGTTCCCACCTTTTGCTCTACACCAGATCCTTTGGAGACTCAATACAGAAATGAATGAAACCTAGCCCCTTCTCGCAGGACCCATGGTCTTATGGTAGAGATAGCCAAGCAGCCCAGGGCAGGCCACTGCGAGGACTGGCCACAGTAAAGGCAGGCTCAGGGAGCTGGGGGGCCCTGGAGGAAGCACCCTGGGAACTTGCCTTCATGAGCTGAATCTAGAAAGGTGAAGATGAATTAGCCAAGCTGCCTAAGGTTTAGAGGAGCTGGGACTGTTACACTGAAGGAAGAGAGCAGTCCAAGGCCTAGGGAGTAGGGGTGAGGAGCCTACAGACCAGTCAGAAATTACGTACCTCTTAGCGTGTCTGGAATCTGAGGGAGGAGGTGAAGGCTTGCATCGTGGTTGAGAGTAGAGTCCGAAAACCTGGGCCTGAAGCCTAGGTCTGCCACTATTGGCTGTGTGACTTTGGGAGGTTTTAACCTTACCAGTCCTGAGTTTCCTACCTGGACATGGGAAGAATAGCAGTACCTTCCTTGCAGGTTTGCTGTGAAGGTTGTATGTAATGCCCACGGTTAGTGCAGCTTCTAGTAGCGCTGCTCAGAGCTCGCCCTCACGAGCACATTCTCCCCCACAGTGTTGATAAATCCCCATGCTAAGCTCTGTCCGCATAGTCACTCAGTCACTCCTCACCACACATGTGAGGAAATGGGCACAGGTAAGTGCACAGTTTGCTCAGGTTTGTGGGGTCAGTCAACGCAGGAGCTGCATGTGCATCCAGCCCTTCTGCCTCCTGCACCTGCCCCTGGACCGCTTCATCTCCTGTGCCTCTGGGCATATCTTATTCTTCAGGAAGGGCCCCATTCAGTCCTGAAGATGAATGGGCCCCAGGGTGCCCTCGCATAGCCCGTTGGCCTCTTGGAAGGAAGCTTGTAGAGGACATGCAGACTTTACAGCACCCTTTGCCAGAGTTCTGGGCCCTATTTCTTGCCCCTGTTTGCAGCTTCTACCTATTGTTTGTTCTCTGAAAGCAAAGTAACCAGGTTTGCATGACCCATTATTTAATAGGAAATTAAACAGGCGCATTTCATCCCAGTGACGTTTAATCTGCAGCCTTGATGTTGACAGATTTATCTGCCCAAAATGTATAAGATAATTGGAATGCCAAAATCATAAATGCCAGATTAAATCTCATTCTTTTTTTGTATTCTTGGAGTGCTCGAGCTGAAGTGCGTAATAAGATTGGAAAAAAACAAATGGTATCCCTTCTCAGTGGTGCTTTTTTTGTGTTTGCAGATAAACAGAAGGAGAATGAAAAATTACGAGAGTCCCTCTCCAGGAAGGCTGCGAACCTGGAGCACCTTCAGCAAGAGTATGCCAGTGTGAAGGGAGAAAATGAAAGGCTGCAGAAGGAAGTCAGTGAGAAGGAGAGGCACAACCAGCAGCTGATCCAGGAGGTCTGCAGCAGCCGCAGCGAGCTGAGCAGGTGGTGGCCATGACTCCCCCGTCCCCGCTGGCCACGCCGTGCAGCCAGGCCCTGGGCCCGTGATGGTGCAGTGAGGCAGCCAACCCCTGCCCCAGCACACAGGGACAGACCCTGCAAATCCAGCTTATGTCTGGTGGGCATAAGGAATATGAAGGACGGGACCAGCAGTTAGCGTAATGGCTATGTCGCTGAACTCCCATGTAGTCGACCATAGTTTGAGTCCCAGATCTGGTGGCTTAAACTCACGCCAGGCACATGTGTGCGTGCCCAAGATCCCAAGAGGAGAATGGAGGAGAAGGGATTGTGGCGTGGCCATTCCCCCCGGGGGGTGATTTCTTGCTTTATGTGTTTTTCTGGTGAGCGCACACGCCCTATAGCAGAAACCTCTCCCCCCCCCCAAAAAAAAAGGAATATGAAGGACAATCCTATGAAGAAGAGGGCTTAGGGAGTAGGTGCTCTTTTTCTAATCTAGGGTCAGAGAAGTCCTCTCTGAAAAGATGCCATTTGAACAGAGAGCTGAACACACCAAGGGCCTGAGTGCTGCAGCTATTGGGGAAGGTCATTTTCAGCAGAAATGATGGGCCCTGAGGCAGGGAAACTTTGGCTTGTGCCCAACAGAGCAGAGAGGTTAGTGCCTCTGGTGAGGTGGAGGGAGAGAGGTGCCAGCATGTTGGGCCTCACAGCTGTGGGCAGGACTTAGGTTTTCACTCCATGTAGCCTAGGAAGCCACCAGGAGGCTCTGAGCAGAGAAGTGGGATGAATCTGCCTTAGATTTGAAGAGGTTCATGCTGATCACTCTTTTGCAGTTTCTCCTGTAGACGCTGTCTTGTTTCATGTGTTTTCGTTTGTCCTTGTTGGTACTGTGAATGCCACTCTTCGTTGCCGGCATTCCCTTGGCTACCCCGCAAAGTGCCGTCATGTAGCAAGATCAGTGTCTTTGCCGTCAGGCGGTCCTGGGTTGAAGTCTGGGCTGCTTGCCCAAGCCATGCACCCTTGGGTACTAGACATAGGCTTTTGAGTTTCACTTCCTTATATCTCTGAATCCAGGATAAGAGAGCACCTGCCTTTTAAGGGGTCTGTGAAGATTACATGTAAGATTACACGTACAGGGCTGGACACGGGGGCACTAGGGAAGTAGTGGCTGTGACTGGAATTCTTAACCGCACTTGGCACTTATTTCACTACACTCTTCTGGCTGAGGGTGGAGCTGGCCTGCCCCATGGGGTTTGCATAGTTCAACCTAAGGCAGAGTTAACCTCTCCTCCCCTGCTCATGGGGCCTTTTTAGGGTACAAGAGGAGATGGAGTTGAGTCAGCAGTTGCTCTCACAGAATGAAAAGCTCCTCCAGTCCCTCCGAGTGGAACTGAAGGTGTATGAGAAGCTGGATGAAGAGCACAGGAGACCAGGAGGTACTGGGCCCTTCAGCCTGAGGTTCTTCTCATCTTGTGGCTACTGGGTCTTGGGCTGTGAGCTCCTCCAGACAACTGGTGACAGGGATGGGAGGACAGGGCTCAGCATGTTCTGGAACTGCTGTTTCCAAGACCTGGGTTTCCGAGTGGGTCTTCTCCAAAGCAAGCTTTCTGGCCCACTCCTTTTATGAAGAAGCAGCAGGAGACATGGAAGGACTTGACTCAGGGCCAGACCAGCTGAAGTCTGTATTCTCACTCCCTCACCAGGGCGAGGGAGTGAAGGTCACTGTACCCTTTGGGCTTGTGCCGGGGTCCAGCCTCGGCGTGGGTGGGTTATCTCGATGAAGGTGGTGAAGGTGAACAGAAGACAGAGGCCTCGATGCCTTTCATGCACATCCTATGCTGGACACCCCTCAGAGATCGCTCTCTGAGGAGTGACGACTGCTAGGAATCATCATGCGTTTTTATTGAAAACGTGTTACATGCAAGGAAAGGGAGAGGGGCTGGTGTTTCAATTAACAGCTCATAAAGTTTTTAACAATAGAGAACAAAGATTCTATTCAGGGTTTGATTAAGGGTGGGTCTAGTGCAGTTTTGCAATTGTAGGTGGGCCTTCATGGAATGCAGTTTCGGGAAAGCGGTTCCGGTAAGCAGATGCGGTGCAGGAGCCATCTTGTGATTACTGGGAATGGTGCTGAGAAAAGAAAATCTCAAGAATAGATATTAGTTCTTATGGATCTTAATAAAGAATGATACTTATACAGTTTTGTGGGCATCTAAAACTTAATTTGAGGAATCCTAATATATTTATCTATTTTAATAGTAAGTAATCAGAGCAAAAGGGAGCTGTCGGTTGGGGGACTTCCTGGAAGATTTTATCATATACTCAGGATGTATAGGAGAGCTATGCAATTCTTTTATAGTAGTAAATTGGGGAGTCAGAGGGGGGTCGCTTCCCAGTGAGGCTGCCTCAATTTTCTGGAGCAAATAGCAAACAGCCTTGCTGACATGCTAACTGACCCAAGCTTTGTTCCAAGGTGGGGGGGGGGTGCACAACAGTAGCCTTGCCAACGTGTTGATCCAACCAGAAGCGGAGCTCAAAGGTCAGGGGGCTCAGACAGACAGATCCTGGGGCCTCACTGGGTCGGACTCCTCCAGGCTTGTTTTTGCCTCTATCAAACATGTCCAGTAACACACATTGTGTAGTTATTGTAAAGTTGAATGAGATTATTCACTAAATCATCATAGTACAGAATCAGGTGTATGCCAGGCACTCAAGAAATAACTGTCATTGTCATTTTCCTGCTAGTGTGCATTTCTTTTTTTTTTTTTTTTTCCCCTGGGGAGGGGGACAGGGGCAGTATATATTTTTGACTGGGACTCACTCTGTCACAATCTTCCTCCCCAGCCTCCTATTAGCTAGGATTACAGGTGTGTACATCCGCACCTGGGAACTGAACCTGGCTATGCTGCTTCTAGCCTCCCAGGAGGTGGTGCTGTGAGTGTACCACTGCGAGTGGGTCAGTATGTATTTGTTTTTGCCCATTCATTCAGCAGATGTTTATATTTCCCCTACTGTGTGCTCTTGGGATGGCTGTCGGCCCCAGTCCTCTCTTTATCCTGAGAGAGATACGAGATCAGAGTAACTCAACTTTAAGGTCTAATGTTTCAGAATCAATTTGGAGGTGTGGTGGGTTTTTTTTATTATTATTATTTTAAACTAATTTTCCAGATGGCTTCTCCCTATTGAAAGTTTATCTAGAAAAGGGTCATCTCACAGCTTTCATTTTCTCCTCAAGTTGCTTTTCTTATTCTTGCTGTTGTGCCTTTTTAATATACTGTGGCTCTTAAAATCATCCCCTTTCATTCTATAATTCCAGCCCAAATAGATTTTATTACTACTAGACATAATTTCGGGGTTTGGTGTGCAATTTGCTAGGCTTTTATGGCCAGAAGCGAAAATTAATTTCCAGCTCTTATTTAGCCTGTGGAATAGCAGCAATTAAGTCTGCCAATATTTTTGTTTTTAAAGTCAAGTTGTTATTTTAAATTGTACCTAGTTCATCAGAAGGGGGAGCGTGGCGGTGGTGGTGGGATTAAAATGCTGCTGAGTTCCTTTGGTGGCTGACCTTCTGATTGTGCAAGATGGCAAGGCTTCCCTTTATGCGTGTCCGCAGGGGCCAGAGCAGAGGCATCGGGAGAAGGCCAGAAGAGACAGAGTCCATTCAGTGACCTGCATGGCCTCCTGATGGAGATCCAGGCTTTGCGGGTACAACTGGAAAGGAGCATCGAAACCAACAGAGCCCTGCAGCACAGGCTGGAGGAGCAGCTGGTGAATGGGATGAAGACAGCGCAGGCAGGAGCCCTCACCCTGGCCGTCCTAGCCCCGTCCACCCCCGAGCGGTCCCTGCAGCTTGACAAACATGGTACCGCACCTGCCTTGCCCTGCTTTCTGGAAACGTGGCTCTGTGCATCTGTGTGTGACATGAGGTTCCCAATGAGGCCCTTGCCCAAGAGGTGTCTTTCCATTGACAGCAGACAGGCTACACTAGGAGCCAGCAACATGGTGTGATCTCTATGTGGGGTGTCTCGACTCTCAGGAAGTGGAATTTGGACTTCCAGCTGCCCTCACTGCCTCTGGCCTGGCTCCCTCCCACCCACTTAGTCCTGCCCACATCACTCCCGTGCTGAAATCCTCACCCCCTCGCACTGCCTTTAAGAGAGAATTTAAACCTCTTACTCTGACTTTCAGTGTCTTTCAGGATCTGAGAACTTCCTGGTAGGTTTAGAAAGTGGCTCTGTTTAGCATCTGCTTGTGAGTTTATCATCTAGCCCTGGAGAGGCTATGTAAGGTAGTAGACAGGTCAAAGAGGACAGGTCACCTCTGCCACCTGCCCAGCGCAGGACCTAGAACAAACCAGCAAGTGATCAGGCTCGGAGCAGTCAGCCAAGCCATCTTCTTTGTTCTGTGAACTAAAGTATTAGGCCCAGAGAGCTTTGGGGCTTGCCCAGAGTAACGCAGCAAGCAGGAGACAGAGCTCGCTAGAAACCATTTCCAGCTGTGAGTCCAGCTGTTTCTGGCCCTGACAGGTTGGTGTTTGGGTGTAACTCCACTAATGCCCACAGGTGGTGTGTGCCTCCCATGGCCAGGGATGCCAGTATATTCTGTGAGCAAGAACTGTACACAAGTCTGAGTTTATCTTCACTTGGACTGGGAACAAGTCTTGCTTTAAAAAAAAAAAAAAATTGGGGACTGGTGGCCTGTTGATTAAGGGTGCTGGACTCCCACATGGCTGACTGCAGTTCGAATCCCGAACCTGGCTTCTTGCTCTCTCTCTCTCTCTCTCTCTTGCTCTCTTTGTCCCTCTCTGGTCAAATTAAAAATAAACAAATATATAAATAAAATAACTCTTAAAAAAAAAGGAAAGAAAATTTAAAGAGCACCCAGCCAGTCTGCTTTATAATTCATATGGATCAGTTCATTGATTTCTCCTTAATAAGAATTTTAAAATGTTAGCCAAATGATGTAACAATATGAAAAGAAAAAAGTAAAAGCAAAAAAATCTTTCATGGTTCTACACAATGATTATTTTAAAAATTTCATCTGTGCGCCTGCCCTGTAGCCTAATGGTTCAAGAAAGCCAGGTCCCACATGGCCGACTATGTAGTTCCACTCCTACCTCTGGGAGCGTAATGAACATGCCAGGCACGTGTGTGTGGATGCCTCAAATCCTGATGTTTGAATGGAGAGATGGAGGAGAAGGGATTGCGGTGTGATCATGCTCCACCAGGGGGTGTTTTCTTCAAACCCTTCTCTCTGCCTCTGTCTCTCTCTTGCAAATGTATGTCCTTCTGGCAAGTAAGAAAGAATTTCATTCGTTAATAAAATGCGGGCATGAATTTATATTGTTCATTTTTTTATATTTTAATTAAACATTAAAAGAAAAAAACACTTTGGAAAGCATACAGAAAAAGGTAGTCAGCAATGAATAGATTAATTTCACATTTTACATAAAATCCCCATCATTGTGTATGTGATATATGTATTATCAACAGAGAACTTTACACTTTCTTGTCTGTTAAATGTTTCTTCCCTGTGTACCTCACACCCACCCTCTACCACCCCCTCTCTACCATCCTTAAGTCATTCTGTGTCCTTTGTTTGTTTGTTTGTTTGTTTTTTCCTCAGTGTTACATCATAAATGTTCCCCCTGCCATCACATGGGCGTCCTGATAATTGTTTCAGATCATCGTCAGTCATTAAACCATTACCCTGTTGATTTTAAAAGTGCTTTCGGGGCCGCCTGGTGGTGTGGTGGTTAAGGCAGCTGGATCTCACATGATCGACTGCACAGTTCAAGTCCTGGACCAGTGACTTGAAAAACACCAGGCATGTGTGTGTGCGTGCCTAAAATCCCAAGAGGAGATGGATGAGAAGGGATTGTGGCGTGACCATCCTACCTGGGGAAGTGATTGCCCATGCCTGTCCCCATGAGCAAACATGCCTTATGGCAAAATAATAATAATAATAATAGTAATAAAGTAGTCTCTAATTTGGGGCTTTAATAAACATTGATGTTAATATACTGTTTGCTATTAAAAAATATTCTTAGGATGTATTAATTTTAGGGAAATCTCAGGGGCTGAGAGGGGGCCATTTTGCTGCCTTCCAGATGGCCTGTACATCAGCAGTGTACAAGGAAGCATGACTTCTTCAGCACTGGGCTATTCCATTTTATATACCTATAGGTCTGCTCCTGTGCCTTCTGAGGGCTCTGAGGAGATGGGACCTAGGAGACTGTAAAAGTGAACTAGAACTAGAGGAAATAGACGCAGGGAGAATAATTCTTTGCTCGGGGTGCCCAAGAAGGAGAGTTAGTGCAGCTGAAGAGAGGAGACCACTGAATAGCCTTTATTTGCTTTTGAAATCTTGTCCAGAGGCAGCCCTAGGTATGCCTGACAGAGGCGTTCAGAAGCGTTCAGAATTCACAGTGCTGCCTCAGCAGGACAGTTCTCCAGTTTCCTTGAGTCAAGATCAGAATTCTTTCACAGGCAGCAGCATTTCTTCCTGTGCAGAAGACTTTTCAGGACTGAGTTTAAGCGCACCTGTTTGAACGTTCTGTTGTAGAACTGCTGTCTGTGGCTGAAAGTATTCTCTTAGGGGCCAGCTCTGCGGAGTTGACTTGGTTCTTGGGCCCAGGACTCTCAGTGCACACTGGGGATGTGCTGGAGTGCAGTAAGCTCCACCTTTAATGGTGCCAGGGTGGGAAGGAGCTCGCAGGGGATCCTGAGACCTGGACACAGTCCTTGCTGTGCCACTGACATGCTGGGTTCTTCTGGGAAGATCACTTCCTGTCCCTGTCCCTCGGTCTCTTTCTCCATGAAATCTGAATTACGATGCCGTTCCACCCACTGACCTATTGAGAGTTTAATAGCTCTTTAGATGTGAAAGTGCCATTTGAATTTTAAAGGACTGTGCAGGTCATCTGTCCAGCATCTATCGATTTTGCCTCCTTATAGTTTTTCAAATGCATCACCCCCGAGTGCTACAGAGGGTCACTCTCCTCTCTCTTAGATTACTGCAGCAGCCTCTGGGATTGCTCCTCTGGTCCAAAACAGATCTCAGCTTGATATTGCCCTGCCTGAAGCCCTTGGAGTGGGGTCCTACAGTCCTCATGGGCCTGGCCTTCTGTCATTGTGTCCTTCCCAGCCCCTGGCCCTTGGCTGAGTAATGGTTCAGTCCCCTGTGCCCTTGCATCTGCTCATCCACTGCCTGGCCCATTTTTCTCTTTTTCATCTCATGGATCAGTCACAACCAGTCTTAAAACCTACTGTAGGTGTTAGCCTTGGGGAAGCTGAGTTGGGGTTCATGGGTCTCCCCTGAACTGTTACAAGTTATCCTTCCCTCTCTTAGCTCTGGTCACACTGTAATGAAACTGTGCTCACTTGTTTGACAAGGGAAGGGCCTGGGCCTGGGCACTCTGTCTCTGGTGTCCCGCACAGGCCACCTGGTGGGACAGATGCCCAGTGAAGACTTGAATGAATGCTTATGTATGTCTGAAAAGTGAATGTACTGTACAAGTTTCTTTACTGGATTCTCATTCTGTTTTCTCTCAGTTGTTGATAATAGTGAAACTGGGGCTAGCAGTTAGCGTAATGGCTATGTCGCTGGACTCCCACGTAGTCGACCGTGGTTCGCATCCCGGACCTGGTGGCTTAAAACTCACACCGGGCGCGTGTGCGTGCGTGCCCAAGATCCTGAGAGGAGAATGGAGGAGAAGGGATTGCGGCGTGGCCATCCTCCCTGGGAGGTGATTTCTCGCTTTCTGTCTCTCTCTGTCTATCTGGCAAGCGCCCATACCCTATAGCAAAAACCTCTCCAAAAAAAAAGAAAAAAGAAAAAAAAAAAGAGATAATAGTGATGCTAAGTTTATTTTACTTCCCTTATTTTGCATCTTGTAGGTGAAAAATGTCTCATGGCAAGTGATAACTCATTTGATCTGTTTGATTCTACCCTAGCAATGATACCAAAGTCAGGTAAGTGTAGGTAACTGTGGTGGTGTTGGGTGTGGCAGTAGGACTTTCTTTCTTTCTTTCCTTCTTTCCTTCTTTCCTTCTTTCCTTCCTTCCCTCCTTCCTTCCTTCTTTCCTTCCTTCCTTCCTTCCTTCCTTCCTTCCTTCCTTCCTTCCTTCCTTCCTTATTTATTGGGAGAGGTTTTTGTTATAGGGCACATGTGCTCACCTGAAAGAAACAGAGAGACAGAGAGATAGAAAGCAAGAAATCACCCCCAAGGGGGGATGGCCACAGCTCAATCCCTCCTCCTCCATTCTCCTCTGTGGATCTTGGGCATGCATACACATGTGCCTGGAGTGAGTTTAAGCCACCAGGCCTAGGACTCAAACCACTGTCGACTACATGGGAGTCCAGTGACATAGCCATTACGCCAACTGCTAGTCTCTGGCAACAGGACTTTTAAATTGAAGAAAAAGTAGTCCCTGGTCCTAGCTCAGATATTTGGCAGGGATCTGGGATTTCAGGATCTCAGCATTGCTAGCTGGTGATCTCCTTGAGGCCAATGAATCCATTCCTGTGTGTTGCCAACTCAGCAACTTCATTGGGTCCCCATTGCCTTAGATTAAAATGTGATCACCCTAGTGTGCCTTTCCAGACCTTCCAAGATCCAGTCCCAGTGATCCCTGCCCACTTTCCCTTCTGTCTGGGTGTAGACACACTGATGGGTGACCATCCTGTGGACACGCTTGCACTTTCCTCTCCCTGGGACCTTTAGGCCCCCTTTTGTCCCAGTCTCTGCGACAGAAAGTCCCCAGGACTCCTGATGAATGCAGACCTCTCTATGGGATACCCTTCTTGTTGGCCATAGTCAGAATTACTCACCCATACTTCTGTGGACCCAGTGGTTAAAAGTGTGGTGTAATTCTTGCTACATATTCAATCCAACTCAGCTAGGGCTTCTTCTCAGAAGCCTCCCTGATCTCTTCCTCGCTGCACAGGTCATTGATTTTCTCTGCGTTCCGGCTCTTGTAGTTGTGTGGTTGCACCTCCCGCAGTGTCTGCACTTTGATTAGAGAGGGGACGACTGCACAGCAGGCACAGACCGTCTGTGTGAATCTGGGGCCTTCTCCAGAGAGGGTGGCCAGTAGTGTTGGTGGAATTGACTTGGGTCTCCCTCAAAGATGAGGGATAAGCCCAGTGCTGGGTAATATACAGCCCCAGAAGCCAGGCCCTATTTCTCCTCTGGGTTTGTGTTGGTGGTATTTGGCCACATGGGCCTCCCTCTGCCCAAGCTAGCTCAAGCATCCTGAGCACCTCGAGCAGATGCTGCTCTTACAGACCTGACATCTGCCTTCTGTTTTCCAGCTTCAGAGACTCTTCCACTATCTGGAAATGACAAGGACTCCCTCTCCAGTGACAGTGGCAGCTCAGTGAACAGCACCCTGTGCGTGCCACCCCCAGTCACTGGCTGCTGCTTGTGGGCTAGCGAGAGTGGCTGGGACCGCACCGGGCCGGGTGTGGGAGTCCGTGAGCAGATTGGCCAAGGCCAGCGGCTCCTTGCTAAGATGGACAACCAGATACAGGATGTTCCCAGCCCCACGGACCAAGAGCTGGAAACCAAGCAGGTAACCTGACCGAAAGAGCTGAGGGAGAGATGCTCTCTGGGGATAAGAGGTGGAGGGCTGAGAAGAGAGTGAGGACATGAGTGGCTCAGTTGTTCCTGGGAAGGCCCAGAGAAGAGGTGCCATTGTGTTAATAAACAGAAATGCCTGAGTGATTTATAGAGAATCAGTGTTTGGAGGCCAGCAGGTGGCGTGGTAGTTGAGGTGCTGGACTCCTATAGAGCTGACTTTGGATCGAGTCCCAGACCTGGCGGCTTGAAGTCACACCATGCACATGTGTGTGCATGCCCAAAATCCCAGAAAGAGAGTGGAAGAGAAGGGATCGTTGCGTGGTCATCCCCCTGGGGCATGATTTCTCACTTTCCCTCTCACTGTCTGTCTCTCTCTCTCTTTTTAGCAAGTGTTAGCATCCTATGGCAAAAACCTCAAAACAAAAAAAGAATCAGGGTTTGTTTGGGTCATGGTTCTGGTGGCTGGAAAGTCTCAGGCATTGGGTCGATATCAGGCTGGCCTATAGTGCTGCATCAGTGTGGCCAGCAGAGGCCGGGAGGGAAGTGGCATGCGTAGAGAAAGAAGAAATGGGAAATACAATTCTACTTCCTCTCTTTGTCCCTCTCAAACCCCAGCTGATTAGATGGCGCCCTCCTGTTAGGCCTCACCTCATAAAGGTCCCTCCATTTTCCAGAGCCATTAGTCTGAGGGCCACACTTCCTGAACATGAACCATGAACCTTTAGGGGATAAACCATTATCCCAACCATAGCAAAGGGTAGTCATGAAGGCTCAGCGGTCAGGCCTAAGGCAGGAGTTGATTTTCGGGAGGTCTTTTGTTTTTCGTGATGCCTTGTTGAGATGTGCTCTCTGTGTCTCCCTTACTGTGACTGCTTCACTGGGATCTCCTGTTCTGCTCCCAACAGCTGCCTCTGTTTCTGCCGTCTCTCATCCATCATCCCAGCAACCCCTCAGTGTCCACCTGCCCCTCACCTGTGCAGCCTCTGTACTCAGGTCCTGGAGCTTCTGTGGAGCTGACACTGTCCCTTCCTGTGCTTTCTGCAGCTGCTTTGTGATGAGCTTGCCATTGGGAGAGTGCCCATGCCCACCTGAACATTGTGGTGCTCCCCCACTCCCACGCCAGAGGGCATGTGCACTTGCCAGAGAGGGAGAGAGGAGGAGAGTGACAGGGTACCTGCCTACCACAATCCCTTCTCCATTCCTTCCAGGATTTTGGCATGCCCAGCATGTTTTCAAGCCCCTGAGTCTGGGACTCAAACCACAAAGTCAGCCTTGTGGGATTACAGCCACCCTAACCACCACGCACACCACTGGCTGGCCCCAGAGAAGCTTTTTATAGGGCATTTTATTTCCTCCTCCGAACAACCCCAGAGGTAGGTGATGTTCGACTTTACGGATGCTAAGGGAGGTAATCTGGAGTAGCCAACATATGAGCTCAGTTCTCTGTCCTCCAAGGTGCTCTCTTCTGTGTCATGATGGCGCAGCCAGCTGACAGGATGGTGCTAGTCTGTCCAGTCACCTGTGGAGAAAACTCACTTCTCCCTGGGGGGCAACTCCATGGGGTTCTGATTCCTAGTCTGGCTTCCAAATGCATGTGAGGTGAGAAACTACGATAGATCAAAGGTTGTGAACGTTTTAGGGCCCTGGATGACACCTACGGCTGGATTAACTTCTGAAAAGATCACATCTCTGTTTATAAGGACCCTTCTCCCTGTACCTTTGTTGTCATTCAGTATTTTTAGCTATAACAATTTTTTGTCACTTTGATATAACAAAGAGCATTATTTTTGTATTTATTTTTTAACTTTTTAAGACAAATGCTCTTTTGGTTTCTCTTTTTCTTCTTCCTCCTCTCCTTTTCTTCTTTTTTGTATTTCCCCTCTGTGGGTCATGTTTCTATTTTGTCATGCCCTTGGCATCCCCCAACAGAGTGGACGAGGGAGACCTGACAGGCCCTGGTGTCACATTCGTGGTTCACCAGGGACTGCTGAGGATAGATGCGCGTGTGCCGCTCCACTTGCTGTTGTGTCATAGCTTTGGCACGTCTCTGTGGGCTGCTGGGCGGTGCATGTGGCCCTAGCGTGGAGCCTCCTGGCGTAGTAACTAGAGTGAGTGCTGGTGGTTATTAATCATGGTTATTGATTGGGCTAAAGTCACCACCAAAATTCTCTCATAATCTATAATTCCTCTGTCTTTAAGAACAATAAACTAGTGTCAGGTGGCACCAGGCTCTTGCTCAGCATGCGAGAGACAAGCCCTACAGTCGGGAGATTTGTGCTGCCCATTAAAGCCTGCTTGTTCATAATTTTTACTTAAGACCGCACGAAACAACCTTCTCGTCTCCTCGTGT